AAAAAAAAAAAAACACATAATTCAAGTAATTTGTGTTATTTTCTCTATGTCTGTGCTGTTACCTTTTCAGAAGTTGCTTCCAGCATGAAACTACAGACAGCATATTATGATCGACTGTTATTATCACATCATATCTCAGAATTAAAATATATGAAGACGCATATGGAGTGCAAATGTGAAGTGTGCAAGCATATTTAATTAATTCATTCATTGATTCTTTTCCTTCATTCATTACTTTGTTTTCAGTCCTCTTCAGTCCTCCTCTCCTGCACTGTAAAAACTTTTTAGTAGCCAGTAAATCTGTAAATAAGTAAGAGTACTGTAAATCATTAACTACACTTTTACTGTAAAAACACAGCATACTGCTGTATATGTATACCGTAAAATTAGCCATGTTATTACAGCTGTCACTGTAAAATTACAGTAGAAATAGTATATGTTTACTATAAATATGTGACTGAAATTACAAGAGCAACCGTGAATTTACATGTATTTTCCTTCACTTCACTAAAATAACTACAGGTGAGATTTTTCAGTGGTGTGATAGTACATTTGTACAAACCTACTTGTGCTGTAAATTCAGTAGTCACATACTGCATTAGTCTTTCCCTTTTTTGTCAATTTAATGTATGTGTCATGTGAACAATAAAACTTACATAATCAAAATAATTGCCTCACAGGTTTTCATAATGTGACCAAATGTATTTATTGTACAATAATGGCACATTTAACACTAATAAACGAAAAGAAAAGAAAAGAAAAGAAATGGACTTCCTTCTGCTACCAAGAATCACTGAGAGCAGCAGCAATGAGTTACCAGCCGTACAGGGATTTAAAGGTACACATTCCTAGGGTGTGACTGAACTTCAGTCATAAACTTAAACTTGAAACAAACTAACACAGAAGAAATGGTCAGAACTGTGAGTCTACATTTAATTATGCCAATAAATTAAAAAGCAAGCCATTCAAAGTCCAAGACATTGCACATACTTTAACTTGAACATGAACTTAAAATATTGGTCAGAGCTGTGTGCTTACCTTTTTATTCCCCTTACATTGGAACACTTTTTTTTTAAATGGCAAGCCATTCAAAGTCCACCAGCTTTCGAAGCAGAGTGCATACATGTGGGTTTATTCCACGTGTTTTCTTGTCTACCTTTCCTGCAGCAACCTTTGATCCAGTTTCTGGGTTAATACCCACAATTCCTCTGTGAAAAATAAACACCCACTTAATCACTTACTATGACAGACAAACATCTCCTAAGACAGACAAACATTTCCTTTAATGACTAGTTAGGGCCAGATTTTACCTCAGAAGACCACAGACATAAAGGCCTACACCAATCAGCCATAACATTAAAACCACTGACGGGTGAAGTGAATAACACTGATTATCTCGTTACAGTAGCTCCTGTCAATGGGTGGGATATATTAGGCAGCAAGTGAACAGTCAGTTCTCGAAGTTGATGTGTTGGAAGCAGGAAAAATGGGCAAGCGTAAGGATCTGAGTGACTTTGACAAGGGCCAAATTGGGTAGACATCTGGGTCAGAGTATCACCAAAATGCCAGGTCTTTGTGGGCTGTTGCCGGTATGCAGTGGTTAGTACCTACTAAAAGTCATAAAAGGAAGGACAACCGGTAAACCTGCAACAGGGTCATAGGTGCCCAAGGCTCACTGATGGGGAGCGAAGGCTAGCCCGTCTGGTCCGATCACACAGAAGAGCTACTGTAGCACAAATTGCTGAAAAAGTTAATGCTGGCTATGATAGAAAGGTGTGAGAACACACAGTGCATCGCAGCTTGCTGCGTATGGGGCTGTGTAGCCTTAGACCGGTCAGAGTGCCCATGCTGATCCCTGTCCACCACTGAAAGCGCCTACAATGGGCACGTGAGCATCAGAACTGGACTACAGAGCAATGGAAGAAGGTGGCCTATATGATGAATCTTTTACATCATGTGGACTGTTGAATGTGTATCCGTCACTTACCTGGGGAAGAGATGGCACCAGGATGCACTATGGGAAGAAGGCAAGCTGGCAAAGGCAGTATCTCTGGACAACATTCTCCTGGGAAACCTTGGACTCTGGCATTCATGTGAATGTTACTTTGTCATGTGTCACCTACCTAAACATTGTTGCAGAGCAAGCACACCCCTTCATGGCATTGGTATTTGCTAATGGCAGTGGCCTCTTTTGGCAGAATAATGCACCCTGCCACACTGCAAAAATTGTGCAAGAGATCAAGGTCTTGATTGGCCTCCAAATTCCCAGATCTCAGTCTGACTGACTATGTGTGGAATGTGTTGGACAAACAAGTCCTACCCCTGGAGGCCCCACTTCATAATTTACAGGACTTAAAGTCTTGGTGCCAGATACCACAGCACAGCTTCAGAGGTCCTAAGGAGGACCTGCACAATATTGGAGATATTTAACCTTCTTCCATGTTTACAACAATATAAAAACTTTACAGATTATGTGATTATGATACAGATTATGTGCAGAATTTGGCAACACCCAGAAACTGATGAGCATTTGGTGGATTTTTGGAGAGCTCTAAGCTGGGTTTCCATCCAAATGTTTAGCATTGTTATTATTAAATTTGGCTAAAGAAAATGCAAATCATATCGCATTGCTATCCACTGCATCATGAGCATTATCTTAAGGGAGCCAGTTTTGTGATGATGGAACAGTTAATTGATCTCCTTAAGATATTGCTTTGAGGAAAGTTGTATTTGCGGTATTGGAGCAATTGTAAATCCTTCTCATCAAAATTAAAATTCACATAAAATTGGTTAACGGGAAACCCAGCAATATTAACTGCCTGCGTGATTATAAATCATAAGAGGTTCCCTTCCCATATTTGTGAAATTTTTTCCACAAAATATCTAATTCTAATAAAGACCCTGAATCCCAAACATTCTTAATGGGAAAAATAAGCCATTTTTGAGTGGGGTTCATTTGACCCTAATGGACATGAGAACCAGAAGTCTAATTTGAAGTGGAAATACATGTTTACCATAAATTTTGAGTAAGGACAAGTTCATTAAAAAAGGTCAAGAAAATGCGGAAATCTATTAACTAAATTAGTTATTAAATCTAATAACTAAATAAATAATTTCATAAAATCCCTGGACAAAATCCTTGGAAAAGATCTCTGATTGTTAGTTCCATAGAAAACATTATTTGGTTTATTTGAAACAGTAGATGAAAAACCAAACAAGCTAAAATTGACAGAACCTCTCTCAGGACAATGGCGCAATCATTTCCTGAAAGACAAGAAAAGACAGGAAGATTTATTCATCCCCCATAGAGGAAATTCAACTGACACAGCAGCACAAGTAGGAGGAGTAACATCAAAGATAAGAAAAGAATTTCCATAAATAACTATACAATAAAATTAATAGAAATAATAGAAACAATAGAATATAGAAACAATAAAATAGATCCGTGTGTATGTGTATTGTGGCATTGTAGAGTCTGATGGCTGATGGCACAAAAGTGCCCCCCAGACGTTTTGAGGCATGTGGCTGGATGAATCTGTGGCTGAACATGCTCCTGAGCCTCCTCAGCTCAGCATAGAGAGGATGAGAAGGATTGTCCGTGATAGCTTTCAGCTTCTCTC